TACAAGTAAGTACATGTTTTTCGATTTTGACAGCATGTTACAAGGCGAGGACGCGTATACCAAGTAAGTACATGTAGTGCTAATAATAATCATGATAATAAGAACACACTAAACCGGTATGCCGTACACTCGACACATGCATCATTACAGGGTCTGTTGTGCCTTGTGGTTTCGGCGGACGTATGACAAGCCATAGCAGAATGGTGGAACTGTGACGGAAACAGAGTTGGCGACACCTGACACCTCGTCGCTTTGAAAAACATCGTGAACATACATGTAGCGCTAGCGATAGCCGTCTTCGGCATGCCTGTCTGTTACAGTGCAAGCCACATTCGCTTCTCGACTGTTTTACTGTAACGGTTGCGGGTGTTTTACAAGACCACACGGCGTAGTCTACGGCCCAGTTGATAGCCTCTCCACTGTACTCGTACCTTTTTTTTTTCTTTTTTTTTAGTAGTAAAAGCCTCTTTTACGGGCGAACAAAACACAATTTGCCATGGCGGAGGATTGAAAACAAATCACATAATGATGACGTCGCATGTGATCAGACAGCAAGAGAAGCATAGCATAGTCCGCACAATCACGGGGCAAGGCTCAACGGGACACCCTAGCCTCCACGACAGCCAGGGATCATCCATTCGCGCTATGAATCCTATGATCCAAACTTGCAGCCTATATCAATCATAATAATTATTATTATCTTCTGAAAATTGATTGTAGTCAAGTAATTGCACGTTGCTGTCTGATGATCGGTTAAAACCGTGAAACTCAGAGTTTAATACAGCAGAAACGCTTTTGTATCTACGTAACATCGTTTGGTGTTACATGACTGTACTCGTACCTGGTCATGTAACACCAAACGATGTTACGTAGATACAAAAGCGTTTCTGCTGTATTAAAGGGGAAGTCCGGTGAAAAATTTAAATTTCACAGTCCGTAGAGTTCGAGTCGCTGAGTCGAATGGTCTTTGTCCGAGGAGGCTGCGGCTTATGGTTCGTCAGATACGCCCAATCGAACATGTGCGAATTTGAGCGCGCATCACCCAGATCCAGGTGATGACGTCACAGCGTGCAGCCAGGTTGCCACACCATCTAGTTGTGTACAAAAATGGTCATATTCGGAGCGCGTTCGATTGGGGAACTGTTTGTCGCAGCTTCTTCGGACCAAGACCATTCGATTCAGTGTTACAAACACTACATACCCTGTGATTTTCAGCTCGGTAAACCTCGAGGTTATACCGTATTTTAGCCGTTTCCGAGTTGGACTTTTTCCGTCAGCCTCCACGCGCTGTGCGCTGCGTGCATGCAGTGCGTGCAGTGTGTTATCTAGCTAGCTGTGGTGCAGTCAACAAACTCATCACAGACGGAACTACTCCCGCACTGCCGTGCTGGGGTAGTATCTACAACAAGACTCGAGTCACAACTGACACAAGACTCAAACTAGTCAGCACACGGACTTGTCATGTACTACACTCGTATCAGTCGTATTGTACAGTCATGTAGTCAGAGAACGTGCGTTTCTCCTTGCCGGTGCCGGTGATTGTGCTTTGAGAAAGAAAATTTTAGTTTTCCGCTCCCGCCTCATTATTTTATGCTACAGCGATGCCGGAGTGCACAACCGTGACAAGTGACAAAACAGGGAACAGCTCCCGGACCTAGAACTGTCAGATTCCATAGCGTTGCGAGCGAAGAGTCGTGCCCGTGGTTCAAAGAGCCTGCACTGTTCTCCAAATGAGCAGTCCGAAATATTCCAAGTTCGCACCAAAACATCACCATGTGGCAGGCCACTGGAGTCTAAGCGAATCTAATCGGTATGGAACAACATTTAGAGCACTCGCATCACTCTTCTCCATTTTGGCGACCCTGCTCTCCAGCGATCTGATAATTCGTCAGCCTCGTCTGCAATAGCTGCTGCTTCTTCATCAGTCGGAAACTCAGTAACGCTCACTCTTGACGGGCCCGCGCGGCCATTTCTTCAGCTGAATACCGAGGTTCTCAGCCCCAGACCGAACTCATGAAGGTCAGCCATGGCTGCATCCTCACTCTCACAAGGAGTTACAGGTCTTCGGGGTCGCTTGCACCACCAAATATCAGTCGCCAAATCATTTGAAATAGCACTGACACTATTGCTTTCACGCACTCCTTTTGACCTAGCTGCACGCTATGACGTTGCAGAGGGTGTGGCGCGGCCGCATGACGTCATGGCGCAGCCCCCGAAACTCAGTTTTTCAAACGGAAATATCTCGAGAACGCTT